TCATTCTCCTTTAAAGTTTCTTTACATATAAGGCAAAAGCAAGAGTCTTGTGGTTCTTTAGTAGGGATTTCTTTCTTTTTAGGTTGTGGTTTGACATTAGATTGTTTTCCTGGCATGGTGGGATTGTTGAGATGGTTTGTTGATTGGATTGTTCAATCAAACAAGATATTATGGTAATCAATAAAGCAATATCACACCAAACAGTCAATTATACTAATCACTAGTCAATTAATTAATGTAACTAATCAAAATGTGGAGCAGAAGATTCATTGTAGCAATTTTTGCTTATTTTGCACTCATGGAGTTCGTATAGTATTACAGTAATGCCTTTGAATAATACTACTTTATACTATTATACTGTAGTACAGTAGATTTCATTGAATAGCACTACAATCAAGCTCAAACGTTCTTTGAAAGGCCCTGTCAATTGATTAATATATTGCAATACTGGCTCAAGGAGTGCCACTGACAGAGAATTGAATAAGAAAGTAGAAGAAGCCACGGGAGTTTGATAAACCACTGGGTGAGAATGCCAGAAACATTTTCAAAGCTTAGCCTTACTGGCTTCGTATCTTCTCCTCAAGACAAGCTTAGGCTTAAACCATGGCTGCCTCATCATTAGTATTTTTCCTCTTAATCAGAGAGCATCAAATAATTTATGGCAAATTATGTAAAATTCATCCCAGTTCATCCAACATTCATTCAGAGCATCCAGAAAACCTGATTGGCCAGTTCAGGTTGATTTGGGCAAGTCCTTCCTGTCAGTTCCTATCAGCATCTACTACCCTGTTGCTCTTACCTCTTAAGCAGCTCGACACAGCAGTGCCTGAGAAGTATTGCTGGAAGCTAGAAATAGCAGAACAGTGAACTGGGTTCATGCAGAAGGGTCTGAAACAATATATCAAGATGGAAAAGGTCCAGTTCCCCATTTCTTCTCCTCATTGCCTCCTGAACAGAACAAGATGAATCTGTAAAACAATGCTTATTGTTTATATAAAGAGAATTCCTAAATCAACATGCTGTTTGTGACTTTATTCTGAGATTCTGATCTCCCCCCCCTCTCTCTCCCTCCCTCCCTCCCTCCCCCCCCCTCTCTCTCTCTGTGTGGGTGAGTGTTGTGTAATTTCAATTATATTCAAATTGGATTACAACAAAATGGAGTCCAAAGAAGGGTTAGAGAAAGCAGCAGCTTAGAGGTGACAGTGTTCAGCACACAGTCCAGCCCAGTTCTACTCCAAAGATGTGATTGGGGAATGTTTGCATACAGTATGTCAACAGCTTGACATATTAGGAAGGAGGGCAATAAAGCTGGAGGAATCAATTAATTGCTTTCCTTGCTGCATGTGCTTCAGAATATCACTGTTTGGTATTGACTCAAAACACTTATGATGGAGGCAAAATACAAACCATGGGGGCAGCAAATTTCTTTCCACTATGATTTACTACCAACTTATAGTTGGATGGATAACACTTTTACCTAACAACAGGGAAGGCCAAAGAGCTTCCCATGGAGAAAATTAACTGAATTATGTGACACTCGCTGCTATTTGTATGGCATCATGTATATCTCACTAAACAACGTTGACAAGAGTTCATCTAGTTTCTACTCTTCCATGTCAGACCACCAGTTCTCCAATATGTGAGGCAAATTTGCCATCCCTTGGCAACAGGTGGCAAATTTTGTTCACACATTGAAGAACATTCCACTTGGTTTCCTATCCTTGTTCATGCAGCTGGGATCAAGAAAGTAACTTGACTGCTGCAGATGCAGAGTGATGGACATGTTAAACAAAAGAAAGACAAATATTTCTGATATATTAATCATGGTCGAATTGCTGGTGGGAGTAATCTTTATTTACCTTCATTGTCATTTTTTTTCTTTTTGAGATGTGATTTTAATATAATGGGTTTTTTTTGGGGGGGGGTCAGGAAAATGCCCCCAAGATGAAATAATGTAAGTGGTGAACATGGTCATCCTCAAGTTCCTTCTGTATGTCCAAATTGCAAATGCAGTATTATGCTGTTGTGCCACAAGCTCTACCCAACATATACAAATGTCATGATGCAGGCATCAAATGGATAGGATATGTGTCACAATGCCACTTTTATCAGACCAACTTCTTTGACCCTCCTCCAATGGTACACAAGGTGAAGTTCCACTGAAATATATTCATGATCATTACTAAACTTTAACTCTTTCTTCATGTAGAACTGGATGTCAAGAAAAAACTTGTAATCTTCTGAGACTTTATTGTACAGCTTCTCCAGCAGTGGTGGGATTCAAAATTTTTTACTACTGGTTCTATGGGCATGGCTTGGTGGGCGTGGCAGGGGAAGGATACTGTAAAATCTCCAGTCAGAGGTGGTATTTGCTGGCTTTCCAAACTACTCAAAATTTCTGCTACCGGTTCTCCAGAACTGGTCAGAACCTGCTTCATACTACCTCTGTTCCCCAGGTATATCTTGTATTTGTTTGGCTGTCCATCTTTTTGAGAATCTTACTGTAATGGGGCCATCCCATGCATTGATAATATATTTGTGGCCTACTTCTCTACAAACCATAATGTTTGGTATTGATCTAAGCATGGCTAGAATGTAGCTGGGTAGATAAGTTCTCAAGAAACTGATTGATCATGAATGGTCATCATTATTTTAGTACAATACAACACAGCCACATGCAGTGGAGGCTAAGACAGTGGGATAAATATGTATATATTTTAGCCAATCTTCTATATGCGTCTTTTGACATAACCAAAGGATTGGATGTATTCACAATTTTTAATGTAATGTCATAATTTAACCTGCCAAAACACATAATAACACATAGTAATTTTCCTCCCCTTTCTTGTCAGCATTTATTTGGGCACACAATCTGTTCAGTCCATAAATATTTTTTTCTTTTTAAAACAATGATGAGTACCTTACCAAGTTTGGATTGCTAGTGAAACTTCCAAGGTTTCAATCCCAACACTAGCCCCAGTTTCTGCTGCAGCACTGCAGAGATTAAGACTTTTCCTAGGGATTCTACAAATCTTCACCATCTACTTGTGATATATACTATTAAAAAAAATTCTATAGGCAAATTAAACAGCGACAATTTCACTGAAATCTAGGCAAAGACGCCAGCAAAATGTATGCAAAGCATGCTTCTATTTGATTATCTAAACCGTCATTATGTTCAGATGAATATTTTATTTTTTTATAATTTGGATTTAAATTGCCCTGAGAGAAAAGACAAAATTTTATGTCAAACACTGTTTCACAAGCATGCATTGAAACACAGATGTTTATTCACCCAAACAAAACTGAAGATTGTTCCCCCAGCCCTCATTTTTTTTAAAATTTCATTTAAATTTGTGAACAATTGCATCTACAACTTAACAGCTTGTGTACTTAGGTATCTCCAAAACACTCATTTCAATAGGCTTTTTCACACTGATATTCACCAACAGTATCACAAAAGTTGTCTTTTAAAAACATAACTGTATGCAACAGTAATTCTAGAAACACTAAAGGGAAAAAGCATAGCAATGTCCAGTTACAAGAAAAAAGTGCACATTACTTTGTCACAACCACAGTCATTACTTGAAAAACTATATGTAACAAGTAGATAGAAAATATCACCAGATGCCTTAAACTCATTTTTGAAAAACCAAAGTACATAAAAAATTGTACACAAAAATAAGGCAAATTTAGGAATGCACAAGGAACTTGTTATTTAACAAAAGCTAATCAACAAAACAGATATTACATAAGCCCGAAGTAAAATACTTCTCTCTAAATACATAAAAATAAGCTTTCCTTAGCACACAGCAAACACCACCGATGTGTATTTGACATCCTAAAGTAAGAAATGGGGATGGGGTGGGGGAGGGGGAAATTCAAGGGAAGGGAATTTTATTTAAATGGCAGTTTTATCGTTTACCATTTTTGTACAATTTTTAGTTTAGCATAAGCACTATAAAATCACATCAGAAGTGTCAATGGCCCTTTTCAGTTACATATTCATTTAGAAAGAAAGAAAACAAATATACACAAGAGTGCAAATTTTCCGATTGTCACTTGCAACCTCTTCACATTCAGTCATCTACATCCATTCACTACTAGAAGGATTTGTACAAGACAGCAGCAGCAATCCTGGAGTTAAATGAGCTGGCTTGTAGGAAATCCCTTTAAAAACAAAAGTAATGATATGTCTTTTGAAAATATCTCTCGCATCTTCATCAACAACTACTAAGTTGCAACTCATTATGAAACAGAAGAAAAAATGCTATGAAGTTCAGGAAAGTCTGCTTCCTGCAGAATTAAGTCCACCAAGGTTTGATAGGAAACTACAAGGGAATGGCCTGCTCTGCATGAAAAATATGCCTTGAGGACAGAGGTGAACTGGGGAGGGGATTAAAATTTCATTGAGGAGGACTTAACAACAGCTCCTCAAAACTTCATTTGAAAAATCAGTGAAAAATTTACCAAAGTAAAAATGATCAATTTAGAATGTGAACCAGCCTTTTTTTTCTTGTTTTTTTCCTATAAAAATTACATTTTATTTAAAATACAAGATCCTTTTCATTGTAATAACATCCTATTAATATCAGGGCTTTTGGCAACATTTTGCCATATAATGCAGCTTTAAGTCCACTGAATCAGTAGCACATTCCGTTAATATTGCACTTGGATTCTGAATCAAATTTGAAACCCCAGCATATATCTGTTGTTTCTGTCCGTGTTAGAATGAGTTAACACTCTACTCACTTTTTTTGCTATTGATGCTGACACATGAAAACAAACCAAATTGTATTACAAATGATCTTAAAAATGTCAGAGATCCAAGTTCGCTTGCAGAACCATAACACACCAAGTACACTGAGAACAGTGTGGCCTAATGGAAATTAACTTGTCAACAAGAGCGTGGCACATGAAAAGATCTGCTCTGAAATATCAAAATGTCAACAGTGGAAATTCTATGATAAAATGAGATCAGCAAGATAATAATGTGTGTCTCAGTTCTGCTGCAAAATAAGGTTTTCCAGTTCATCTGCAGAACGTAATAAAAATGCTGCTGATTCTCTGTAACCTGCAACCAGTTGCCGTACTGCATTAATTTCAGTTGGACTCAGCTGAGGTCTAGAGCTGGTATTGCTAGAAGACCCGGAAGTGCTTGCTAGCTGCCTCTTCATACTGAGATCAGTTGGACCTGAGAAAGAAAATTAAAAAATGAATGAAACATCAAGATATCGTCATAGATTCACAGATTTGAAAGGTCTTTGGAAAACTAAGTAAACTGCTGGCTCAGTGAAGAGTATGCAATGTAGGATGTTCATATATTATCATTCCTTGCCTGATAAGATGGCTTTCCACCCATACAGGTCCCAAACTAAGATTCCACTTCCCATTTCATCTGTTTATCCTATAGTCAATTATTAAGGACAGAGAAATGTTTAACTTTTAGTAAGTTAAATTAAGTTTTTACGTGAATCCTATTATTTTGGCTTGCTGTTGCGCCTTAAGCATAATAACTGTTACATTTATATTCATTTTTTTTTTCATCTAATAAGGATATTCAAGCTGCTTTTTCTTTCTTCTGTACTGTTGACTCCTGCTTTTTTGATAAATGTAAATTTAACAATTAAATTAAGCAATACCTCTATATAATTGTTGCCCAGGTAATTTATTTCTGGGTCTAAAACATAGTCTCTACTTGACTTAGAATTCCTATTAAATACACATTGGAAATGGCTGCTTTTGTTCCATATAATAGTCAAAATATCCAAACCACATTTTATCATCTTATCAACAAGGATTTCTTTGAATTCACTGAATGTAAATCAATATATACTGGTGCATGTATTCTCTGCTGAACCAGTGACTATGCAAAAGGAGATAGCTGGTCTGGCATAATATACCCTCAGTACAGTAAATCCGTAATGAACTCTAGCAACCAGTTAGTAATTTTCTAGCTGCAATCAAGTCAGCTGCTTAATAGTCTATTCTAGAATTTGTTCATAACTGATGATCTCTGACTGGTCTTTGATTTTCTGAAACCAACTTTCTTTCTTTGATAAAAACTGGAGTGTGCCAAGTGCACAGATAAACTGAGGACAGCTTATTCATATATTATGTCACTTAGCTTTTACATTCTTACCAAACTAGATTCAACTTTACAGCCCTGTCAGCACATTCTATACTGTAGAATGATCGATAGTGACAAATCAGTTGATTGCTGTGTTGCCTACTAGACTTGAATCATAGGAGTACTTTATGCAAAGCTTTGTTCTAGTTTCAAAAATTACACTGGGAATGAAGTTGCAAATGGATGCAAGGCAACAACTGTTTATTCTCTGGGAACCATATCATCCACTGAATGTACCAAAGCCCCACCCCCCAAAAAATCCTGAAAATTCTAGAAAAAAAGCTATCTTATCCAAGGCCATTTCAGAGGAAGTTCTGCTTTTCTCCTAAAATGCAAATAATGTGTGTGTGTGTGTGTGTGTGTGTGTGTGTGTGTGTGTGTGTGTAGGGGGGAAATTGTGGAATGTTTCCTAATATTTTCTTTTTGACCAACACATAAAAGTGATTAAGCTGTAAAATAATATAACCCATGTTTAAAAATACAAATATGTGTATTTTTTAGATTCTTCTATGTGGAAGAATCTAAAAGCTTTGCCTTAAGAAGTTGAATTTTCTCATAGATAATATTTCAGTTTCTGAAAATAGGTAACATTTCATGTGGCAATCAGTGTTTTAGCACAGACACATTTCATGTGGCAACAAACTTAATGCAGTGCATAGTGGTAAGGTGCCTAATGTTTACTGCAAGTTGATGATTTCATGTTTTCAGAATAATCCTTTGTCCATTTTCTTAGGCAAAAATGAAGAGATTCTACTTTCTTAAAAGCTCAGCAAACTTGTACATCCATTTAATTGGTCTATGAAAATAATAAAGATTTAATTTGATCTGAAAATCTATTTATGTAAATGTGAAATTATTTCACAATAATTTTAACAAAATATAAAATTATCAGAATAAACTTTGCTTTTCAATTTAATAATATAATATCCTAATAAGCAAATCAAGTTACACTCTATAAAAGAGTAGAATAGGGGCGTCAAACTCATGGACATTGCCTACAATGTGGTTGGATGCAGCCTGCAGGGCCGTCCTGGTCTACCCAATGCAAAGAGGAAAGATCAGGCCAGCCTGGCTTCGGCCCAGTCTATCCAATGCAAAGAGAAAACATGCCAGCAGTTTGGGAAGTGATGTCAAACTAACCATGCCCACCCAGTTGGCCACACCCACCCAGTCGGCCATGTTCCCCCAGCCCCCCCAAGGTCAATCACAGCCCTGATGCGGCCCTCAATGAAATTGAGTTTGACACCCCTGGAGTAGAGTGTTTGCTAAACAATAAGAACTGAATAAATTTTTATTTTCCTCTCCAAATTCCACTTCTTTCTCAGAACTAAAGCAGAAAAAAAAATTCAGAAGTTTCACATCTCTAGGATCCCAGAATACCTCATGAACCATTCTTATTTTCAATGCAACTTTATACAGCAAATATACATGGCTACATATACTACAAATCTGTGCATTTCTAGTATTAATGACATTGCTCCCTCCTCTGTATCTACAATAGAATGCTGTTATATTTATGAATTACTGAAGATTTCAGCCTGCCAATGCCAGTAAGGGCAACTACTTGGAAATCACATCTAAGCCACTGAGAGCTTCTCAAAGGCAAAGTGGAAAAAAATGTAATGGAATTGCAGCAGAAGACATATTTTGATTTAGCAGCAAATGTATGGACTACTTCAAGTACTTCATAAAAATTGATGTTAAAAACTGATCTCCTTGGACAGGGCACTCTAATTTGTGGTTTAAGAGCCCAGAGAATAGCAAAATAGTATAAAGTTTGGTATATTTTTATTTTTATTTATTTTTATTTTTTATTTATTTGATTTGTCAATTGCTTACAAGATAATAGGTATAAGTATATACATAGTTATGAATATATGAAATGGGTACATATAAGAAAAATAAAAGAAACAATAGGACAGGGATGGTAGGCACATTGGTGCGCTTATGCACGCCCCCTACAGACCTCTTAGGAAAGGGGTGAGGTCAATAGTAGACAGTCTAAGGTTACAGTTTTGGGGGTTTTGGGAAGAAACCAAAGAGTCAGGTAGAGTATTCCAGACATTGACCACTCTGTTGCTGAAGTCGTATTTCCTGCAATCAAGCTTGGTGTGGTTAACCTTGAGTTTGTATCTATTGTGTGCTCTTCTGTTGTTATGGTTGAAGCTGAAGTGTTCATTGACAGGTAGGACATTGCAATGTATGGTTTTATATACCATACTTAGATCAGACCAAAGGCGCAATAGTTCTAAGTTTTCTAGGTCTAGAATTTCAAGTCTGGTGGCATAAGGTATTCTACAACGAATGGAGGAGTGGAGAACTCTTGTGAAATATTTCTGGACTTTCTCAATTGTGCTAATATCAGATACGTAATGTGGGTTCCAGACTGATGAGCTGTATTTGAGTATTGGTCTAGCAAATGTTTTGTATGCTCTAGTTAGTAGTGTGATATAACCAGAGAAAAAGTAATGTAGGATTAGGTTAACAACTCTTAATGCCTTTTTGGCTATGTAGTTACAGTGGGCTCTAGCACTTAGATCATTAGAGATGAGTATTCGAAGGTCCTTTACAGAGTTTGGATCATCAACAAGACCTTGACTATTCAGGAGAGGGCGGAGCTGGTGTTGCGACGATATGGCACACGATCTTGGAGGTCTGAGATCGCTGCCGATATCTTTGCTCCTGGATGGTCCTATCAGATCTAAACCATCCCGAAGAGACGGTGAAAGTGAAGAGTGCAGCCTGTCGATCCCAGGGATACTGCAAAGTCCCTGTTGATCCAGGAGAAGCTCTTCTTGCCAGCGGCAAAGAGGCAGCCATTAAAGCTGCTGAAGTTGGGATAGCTCCGAAACGGAAGAGAGCAGAAAGAGAGAGTGTGCCGGTTTGGTGAGAACATTTTTTTATTATTTTAAGATCTGAAAGGACACCCTAAGGAAAAGAAAGAATCTGTAAAAGTTTTGACAGAAGTGATTAAGCGGCGATTTTAAACAGGAATGTCAAAGTAATGTTTTGGTTTGTTTTTCTCATTGCTGATCTTTTATTTTGAAACTGGACTGTTTTTTTTTGTTGATATCTATTTTTTTCTTCTCCTTTTTGATTTTGTAATATTTTAGGCTAGAGGCTCCCTTTAGTTATTTCATTTTTAAAAAAATATCTTTTCTTTTTTTATTAATTCTTATTATATCCTGCTCGGAAAAGGAAGGGGAAAGTGAGAGCAAAGAAACTTTGTAACACTGCCAACTAGAGGCTTGAAAATATTCTATTTTCCTGTGACCAGACAAAGCTGAGAAAGAAAGAACTGAGACTCTTTTTCAAGGACATTGCTATTTGATAAGATAGAGGGAAGAGCATGGGAGAGTATTATTGCAGGTGCTCTTCTGGGTTTCTATCAACAGCTGGAGTCTGGTGTTGAAACATAGGGGGAAAAAGGTGATAAGTTTTTGGAGAAGAGAGTTATAATAAGAGCCTTGGATAATCAAACAAAGGGCAGTGTGCCCTTTTTACTTTTCCTAAGTTGTGCTATCCCTCCTCACCAGCTTTATTGTATGTTTTATCTTTTTTTTGGTAATAACTATTTGGGTTTTTGGCTTTGTTGGAGCTTGTCTTTGTTTTTCTTTTTTCTTTTTGGGAAGTCCAATCTCTACATTTGCTTTTTATTTTAAAGGGAAAGGCTTAAAAGCCTTTTTTTTCCTGGTATTTTTGTTTTTTCATCTAGATTTCTGGTTTATTTTTATGCACCTTTTTCTACTTGAGATCTTTCAATTGGATTAAGGTGTTGAAGAACCTGAAGAATTTTTCCTTTTTTTTATTTTTTTTCTTAAGTCTTTTTTTATCTAGCTATTGATTGGATTAAGGTATACAAGAACCTGAAGAAATTTTGTCCTCCCTTTTTTTTATTATTATTATTATTATTGGGCTTCTTTTTTCTACCATTTTTATTTTGAACTATAATTGGTTACTTCACAATTGGATTAAGGTTTAGAAGAACCTGAAGATTTTGAATTGCTTAAAATGAGTAGGAAATTTATAGCTCCCGATTCTTCAACTTCTACTTCTTCCTCTCC